AATGAATGAAAGATACAGAAATGCGATTGGCAACCTGCTTTACTATAGCTGCTGCAGAACTACAACTCCCAGCGTGCCGTGCTAGCTGGAAGGAAGACATGGTGGGGCCTACGTATTCTACAACTGCTGGTGAAGCACAGATTGCTCTAGTATTGGATAGTGTACAGAGAATTCAAACTCTGATCACGGCTGATAAGCGACATTGATCTATTATATAGAAGTGAATATGAACTTTCTAAATACTGTTCAGCTCCTATGAACCTTTGACATCGGAGTTACTCTTAGCCAGCTAATGAGAACTGAGCGCCAGATCATAGTGATGTTCAGCTACAGTTTAAGGAACCGCTAAACCCAAAGCGCAGGATTGTTCATAATGAAAGAGCAGCGAGTAGAATTTACAGACTTGATTGTAACATAAGAGACTCGTATAAGTATTAGGGTGGAATCATGCTGCCCCTCTACGCTTTGGTCACAGCGCAGTGCACCCGCAGTTCTGGTGTGGGCTAGCTGTGCTTTGCCATAGACTTCTATAATGTCCTGCGATTTTGGTGGGTTTTCTGCATGCGCACAAAAAGTCCTGCATTCAGGACTTTAGGTACGCTTTCAGAAAAGCCATCAAACCCAGGAGACATACAAGTCTATGGCAAAGTGCAGCTAACCTGCACCAAACCTGCAGGTGCAATGTGCTGCGGCCAAAGCATAGAGGGGCAGCATGAAGCCGCCCTTACATATGTGTTCATTAAAGTATATCTAAAATCAAGGGAAAAAAATAACAATATTACAGTCCTTAGATTTGATGCCTGCATTCATTCTGTTTATATATCAAATCAGGAAAGAAGCCTGGGATGACAACACTACTTCCCCATAGATATAGTACAGGGAGTGTTGTCACCTTAGCACAGGATGTGTGTCAGTGGCAGGATCCACAAGCAAAAAATAGAAAAAAAAAAAAAAAAAAAAGGTCTTTCAGAGGCAGCAAACACACTGGAAGAGATGCAGCTGATTACTTCCCCCCCCTGTCCCAATAGGGATTTTACATTGAAATATTAGAGCATTTGGAACTCAGTTGCAGCATGGCCCAATTGACTTTAATGGGCACCTTTCGTATGCAGAGTGCCTGTTACATGTGACATAGCAAGTTAATTTGCAGCACCGTGAAGTAAATCATCATGTCTGCAACAATGTTAAAGAACCTGCGCTTCCTCCAAGCAATTTAATAGATTGGCAGTCAGAGGGCGACAAAAATCAGTTGTCAGGTTTTACTGCCCTTTTACCTCCTGTTTGAACTTATCCATGCAGCCACCACATCTAAGGACTGGTAAGATGCAATGTTATACATTTTTTTTTTTTTATTAAAGTGTTACTAAACCCAGTACGGAGCCATCTAAATTAGTCAGGGTCAAGGATATACCCTATATTAAAGTGTTACTAAACCCAGGACCTTGCATTCACTATGGTCCCCGGACCCTGCATTCACTATATCTGGTCTCCCCGGACCCTGCATTCACTATATCTGCTCTTCCAGGACCCTGCATTTACTATACCTGGTCTCTCCCATCCGGTCTCCCCGGACCCTGCATTCACTAAATCTGGTCTCCCAGGACCCTTCATTCACTAAATCTGGTCTCCCAGGACCCTTCATTCACTAAATCTGGTCTCCCCGGACCCTGCATTCACTACATCCGGTCTCCCCGGACCCTGCATTCACTACATCCGGTCTCCCACAGTACACACAACATGGAAATGCAATTATTTTAGGAAATATAAAACTGCTAAATACCATTTCTCATCAGCAGTTTGAGCACTCCTACAAGCTTTAACCAGTGCTTTGCTGGACACTGATAGAAGTCACAAGACTGCTCTTTCTCCTCTCACTGTCCTAGGAGACTGCAGTACCCCTGTGTTGAGCACATGCACTCTTCCACGAAACCCCCCCCCCCCAAAAAAAAAAAAAAAACCTCCCTAGCAATACACACCAAGCTGAGCATGGACAGCTTGCCCCCAAGGCTCTGTTCCATCAGGAGATGAGTCGGGGACAGTGGAAAAAAGGTAGGATCAGAGAAGACAAGATCAAGACATCCTTTTTATACAATGCAGAGGATTAATCCCTTAGGTTCCACAGTGAGTATAACAAGCATGCTTTACTGCATATACAGACTGATTGTACTGTTGTGGGTTTAGTAACACTTTAAAAGTTGGATCCAGAACTCCAGGCACAAATTATAATAATGATGATAAACACTGAACGAAGGTTCTAGGCTTTCCCTAAAAATAATTGTCTGGGTCATTTGCTGGGGGGATTTGCCCTCGCTCCCCCCTTCTGGAGATCGTATAGAAAGTAAATAAATCTTCGCTCTGACAGTGGTCATCATATCAGCACACAGGGAGTTTTTTTTTTTCTCTTCTTCCAGAAGGGAGAATCAATGTGCTCAGTGGGGATGCCGGCATTGGTAGCATCATAAGAGATTCAAAACTTTCTCCCTGTGTGTGGAGGGTCTCAGATCACTGAGGTGTCACTTTGGTTGTCATTTGAATGCCAGTAAATGATATGAGGAATATTCTTGGTGCAGTCATGCTAGGCTTCAATTGGCTTTCTGCTTTTCTTAACAGCAACAGGGCCGAGCAATTTACAGGACAATGAACCCCAAACACGTGCACCAAATAGAAGGCATTCTGTAATACAGAATCTTCAGCTCAAGTAACCCAACTGAGAGGTTCCGGGCTCATTCACACGAATTTGGAGATCCACGCAGGGTGTGGCTGTATGTGCCCAGGAAGAACGGCAGATGTTCCATGCAGCAGCCACCGGCAGCCTGTTCAGAATCAGCCACCGGCAGCCTGTTCAGAATCAGCCACCGGCAGCCTGTTCAGAATCAGCCACCGGCAGCCTGTTCAGAATCAGCCACCGGCAGCCTGTTCAGAATCTGCGACAGGAGCTGCTGTAGAGCTCTTCCAGCATACCGGAGCATTTGCATCCCTGGACACAGAAAGGCTGCCTCTGGCTGTACAGAACATCGGTCACTCCTGTGCGCATAAAAACAGGCTCCTGAGCCCATGTGAATGAGCCCTTCTAGGTCTGGCAATGAACACATTCAAGGCGGGCATATAGGTTACTTGTGTCTTGCAGTACTTCAGAAACATACTCTAGACCAGGGGTAAATAATCTTACATGCTCTGACAGTGGTCCCATATCAAGGAATGAATTCTTGTCAAACTGGCGGTCCCCCAGCTGTTGCCAAACTACAAGTCCCATCATGCCTCTGCCTTTGGGAGTCATGCTTGTAACTGTCAATCTTGCAATGCCTCATGGGACTTGTAGTTTGGGAACAGCCAGAGGGCCGCCAGTTTGACACCCATGCTCAAGAACATCACAGAAATCGAAATCAAACTTCAAGAAAAACATCCGTTCTAAATCTTTTTGCACACTTCCATGTGGTTGTAGCCCGTCTCTATGAACATCTGAAAGAAGAATGACTAAGTCAGGGGTAGACAAATGAATGTGGAATTCAGGAGCCAGTCTAATACAGAAGGCAGCAGGGTAATATTTTATAGCAGCCAGCTGAAAGGACAACTAGGCCTCGTCCACATGGGGTTATGGGTTGTACCAACGCATATGCCCATATACCTGCATTGATAGGAATAGGTGTTTCATGCATCCCTGTGTAGGCCATCACATTGATATCAATTGGGACACAGACAGAGATGATGAAAAATCTAAATCAAACTTCAAGAAAAACATCAGTTGTCTCCCATTCTGACATCCATGCGAGTGCACAGACAGTCCATCAGGGCCGTGTACCTGTCCCTCAGTCAGATTGGCAGCAGCTGCATGGACACTGCTGCCAATCTGACTGGGGGGGGCAGATTGGCAGCAGTGTGCATGCAGCCGCTGCATCCCAATTAATATCAATTGGGACATCGACAGAGATGATGCTCCCATTCTGACATCCATGCGAGTGCACAGACAGTCCTCCATCAGGGCCGTGTACCTGCCCCCCAGTCAGACTGGGAGCAGTGACTGTGTCCATGCAGCTGCTGTGTCCCGATTAAGATCAATGGAATTGCCTGCATAGGGATGCATGGAACGCCTCTGCATCCCCGTACATGTAGGCACCGGCCATTTTAAAGAGCATTGGCTACCTGTTTTCTGGGATTTGTCCAGCCCTGGGCTAAGTGAATGGGTGCCGTATTTGACCCATGGCAATCCTCAATTGAGTATTGACTGTGCACTGAATAAACATACCAGTCATTGCTTGATGTTCATAAGATGTAAAGAAAAAGGAAAACGGACTTTCCTAATTTAAACACCTGTGAGATCTTTTTCAGCCTATGAAAACATTCAGATTGTAGATTTTTTTTCTTCTTTTTATCTTCACATTCCACATCGTTCTATTTGCATGGTGGTGACCTAACTGGAGCCCTACATACAAATAGTCTTCCTGAGAACTTTAGATTCGTTTTGGCAATACTGAATAACTCTCCTTCCAGCACTTCTAGAGGCCGTCATATCCCATTATGGACAGGTAATGGCATCTGGTAAGATAGCCAGGAAAGGGAATGACTATCAGTTCGAGAAGGGGTAATGTGTTCAGAGTGGTCTGCGGTTTGTCCACACCTCGTGTTTTGTGGAAAAGTTGCCGAAGTGGACAACAAAAATGGATGCCATCAATCTCATGGCACAAACAGTCCTCTTGTTTCTTCCATGCTTTTTTTTTTTTTTTTTCCTCTTAAAAAGGCCATTTTCTTTGAGAATATGAATGCACAGTGGTACGCCTTGCTACTATTCTGACTTCTGGACAATGAGTTGCCAAAAATGGGCATAATTGATCTGCATAAAATATACAACTATGAAAATGTTTTCATCCTCTTGGCTGTCTCTCCTTATTGCATCCCTGGCCAGCTCCAGCACAGTACAGTTTGCCTCTGTCTTCTCTGACACCCGCAGGTAGTGGTCCTGAGAAATTTAAGTGCTTGATCCCTTTCTCCGGCTCTGTGTACTTCTACCTGGCCAGGTTCTTTGGCTCGCTGCTGGGAATACACCAGTCGTCCGCTTCTGTGCAGAACTTATAGTGCTTCCAGGCGGACTTGTTGAACACCGGTAACCGCTCGATGGATTCAGAGGACAATGCCTGTGACAATTCAATGACAGATCCGTCAGTATTACAATGTTGGCAACTTTAAGTCAGTTAAAGTAAAAATTAGAATTTAAAGCGATTCTAAAGCTTCCATTTTTTTTTTTTTTTTTAAATTAAAATAATAAAAGGTCATGCTTACCTGCTCTGTGCAATGGTTTTCACAGAGAAGCCCTGATCCTCATCTTCTGGCGTCTCCCAATGGTGCTCTTGGCCACCCCCCACCAAGTGCCCCAATAGAAAGCTGCTTTCTATGGGGGCACTCGTGCAGGCTCGCTCCCGAGCCGCTCTGTCTGCATCTATTAACACAGACAGTGGGGCTCAGCAGCAGTATTGGAGGTAAAACAACACTCATGAATTATAATTACTGGGTATATAATTTTATGGTTGGGGCAGGGGCGGACTGACCATTTGGAAAATCGGGCACTGCCCGAGGGCCCAGGGTCAGTAGGGGGCCCTATGAGATGCCCCTGGTACCTTTTTAATAGGCTTTTTTGAGTTTGGGCAAGGACACAGGGGCCCCATGATCCCCTATTGCCCGGGGGCCCCATGAGTGGTCAGTCCACCCCTGGTTGGGGGTCACCACAACATGAGGAATTGTATTACAGGCTCATGGCATTAGGAAGGTTGAGAACCACTGATGTAGGTGATAAAAGTGCAGTGCTGCACTTTTATCACACGTTTATATTGGGACTGCAGCCTATATCCTGAGTGCCAGCAGCTATTTTTGACCATCTTTTACCCGTAAATAAGTAATCATTAGTATTCAGAACTATTCTTCAGCGCTCGCTTATATACTTTCTATTTATACATGACCCTTGCATTTTGGACAATATTTGCCTATCCCAAAAGTTCAGCTCTACCCTCCGTTCACATCAAGCCCAACTTTGAAATCGTGCAGCTTACAGTGAAGTCGCACGATTCCAAAGTCGGATAACATGCCGATTTCAGGTGCAATTTGCAAGACATCTGAAACAGATGTCTATGCAAAATCACACCAAAAGTACTGCATGTACTACTTATGAAATCGGTGCGGATCTGACCAAGTTGGAACCGCACCAATATGACTTGGTATGCAATTTGCAAGTCGCAGGGCATGCAAATCGCATCCAGTGTGAACCAGAGCTTAAAGAGAAAACACACACACACACACACACACACACACACACACACACACACACACACACACACACACACACAACACACACACACACACACACACACACACACACACACACACACACACACACACACACACACACACACACACACACACACACGATGTTGAATATACCAATTACCTTTAAGTAAATGACTGCATCTGTTCCAAAACCTTCCATCGAATGTAGCATTAAGTCACCTTGGAAATACTTGGCATAAAGACGAGAGATGGGTAACCCATATCCGAAACCCGCCTAGAGGATTAGAAATAAAAACAGGTCTAATTTCGGCCTTCAATTTGTAACAAAAAGGGTAATTTGCACCCAGTCTAGTACAACTTATTTTTCTTGTCTTGTGTACAATTTATTCACATTTTCTAACATTCCCTGGCAGTAACATCTGTATATTTATGGTTCAGAGAAAAAAAAAAAAAAAAAGTTGGATTTAACCACTTCAAGTCCGGACACTTTCACTCCCTTCCTCCCCAGGCCAATTTTCAGCGCTATCACACTTTGAATGACAATTGCGCGGTCATGCAACACTGTACCCATATGCATTTTTTTAGCATTTGTTTGAGACAGATAAAACTATTTTGGTGGTATTTATTCACCACTGGGATTTTTATTTATTTATTTTTTTTACTATATAAATGAAAAAGTCCAAACATTTTGAAAAAAGGTGTTTTTCCTATAGAAATTTGGCAAATAAATAATCTTTCTTCATAAATCTTGGCCAAAATGTATTCAGTTTTCTTTTTAGTAAAAAAATAACCCAAATTAGTTTATAAACCAAAAAGTATAACATTTTTGAAACATTTTTTTTTTACATTTTTTTTATTATTTAGGTTTTCTTTTTTTTTTTTTTTTTTTTTTTACATACTGACACCCTAACAGTACAGTGTCACCATAGTGACAATATACTACTTGTGGGGGCTTATGAAGAATTTTTTTTTTTTTTTTTTTTTTTTTTTTGTTTTTTACACCGTTTGCTTTTACAGCCCTGTAAAAGCAATCATTTCTCCTCTCTGGCTGAATTCTTGGTTGCTGTGGTTGGTCACAACTTGTCACATGGTACAAGGCTGTTGTGAATAGCTGTGTACCATGTGACCTCTGATCATTCACAGATTTCACACGTAGTAAGCATGTTAGAAGTGACATCTTGCTTACTACTCTTCATGTGATCACTGATTGGCCAATCAGTCATCACATGATCGGGACCTCACACAGAGGTCCCGTACAATGATCGGTATTCCACTGTGTCTGGAGGACACAGCGGACACCGGATCGCGGTGCTTTTCGCTCCCAGGGAGCGCGCACAAGCAGGGGGCGGGGAGTCCGTTTATAAACGGCCACCCGCCCCCGCACTGCTCCCCCGTCCGGCCGTTTATATACACATAATCACCTCTTGCTGATGAAAGCCAACAGTGACAGAAACGGAGGGGGAATCTCCCATGTAAAGATGCCGGCTGTAACTTTTCTCATTCTATTCAGAACCAGGTAAAACCCCAAAAGTGGCTTCAGTGTAGTACCCACTTCCTGTGTGCTCAATGATGTAAATGCCCCCATAACCACACAAGGTGTAGGATTTTACTTTTCTTGTGACCACACAGGAAGGGAAGAGAAATCTCTCTGATGGAGACATGGTCCATATTAGAGAGATTTATCTTCCCTTCCTGGTCCTCTGACCCCTGCCACCAGGACTGGAAGTGAGGAGAAATGTACCAAGGGTGACACGGACAGCATAGTTACAGCACAAAACCTCCAGCCAGACATGCCTGGACTAAATCCTCTCCCCACCTCAAGGAAAAAGAAAAAAAAAAAATATCATCCAATGGTGGACAAAATCAGAGAGATATTTTTTCACAATAAAAAAATTGATACAAATCTGTTTTTATATATATATATATATATATATATCCCCCTGGTGCCCAACCTGTGGCCCGAGGGCCACATATAGCCCATTCGTAAACGATGTGCAGCCCTTGGGCCTCAGCAGTCTGTAGTGGGAACATTGATGAAGGTAATAGCATTGATCTCTGCAAGCCTCGTGTTACATGTTCCCAGTTCTATATGGTCTGCTGCAGCATATCCCCAGGCAAACATGTAGCATGTCCGCACTCTCTGACCCTCACTTCCTCTATTAGGTCTGCAGTTTCTGACAGTCCTCCCAAGCATTACATATATTGAACATTATGTGCGGCCCCTTGGTGATGTCAGGGGCTGCATTTGTTGCACCCCTTAGCACATCAGTTGGCAACCGCAGCTATAGGTTACTGACAATCACATGGAGAAAAAAAAAAAAAAAAAAAAAAACACGATCCAAAACCTGGACGATTTATACCACCTCCCTATTGTTCTCTAAGGACTGAGGAGAGGGAAGCCAGCGGACACGCAGGTACGGAGGGCTCCCCCCACATGTACTGCGCTGTAGGACAGCACGTGAGACAAAGGCATATTCCGAGGATTTCATCACAGGACCGATTCCCCGGTGTCAGCTCAAGCCTTACACACTAGCACAGCAGCCTCTGACCAGTTCTCGGCCCACATCCCAGATAAACAATTTATACTTCTTAAATGTTCCTTGTCAACAAAAGGGCAATTCATTGGTGTTGGAACAGTCTGCGCACTTTTGGGAGGGAGTTGAGGAGCAGCTGCATCCCCGCACAATCACAGCTTCATTCATCAAACCATGTAAACAAAATCGGGATCACCAGCGTGTGCGAGGAGAAGGCAAAATAACCATCGCTCACCAGTGGTGCGTTCCGAGCATTGTCCATCATGGGCAGTGGGGCTGTGGAATACATGTAGCTAAAAAGACGCTCTATTTTTCTTAAAGGAACACCTCCCCCGTTGTCAGAGATCTAGAAAACAAGGCGTGCATTAGTTATTCATTTATTATAGATATTTACAGTGCCAATAATTTACTCAGCACATTACTGTAGATAAGGTCCCTATTTGCATGCATACATTCTACAGCCAAGTTGTTTTGTAGAAGAGCCAAATAAAGTGGATGCAAACTTCAGACATGAAATAGGAACAAAGCATATCCCCTGTGTAGTGTGTACTGGTCTCAATCAAGAGCACCAAGTGTCATTTCTCTCAGCTGCCTCATTCCTCTGCTGTTTGCATGAGTCACTTCTGACAAGTTTTCCTGACACCAAGAGGAAAAAAACAGGAGTTGAGGGGCCTCAAGCACACAGCCTGTGATTGCCAGCCTCAGCTCTGTTCCTTTGTGCTGTGCAAAGGGGGGGGGGGGATAATGTCCCTTCCCTCCAATTAGCTCTCCTCACTGAGCTCTGAAGAATAACTTCATCTCTCCTTTTCTGAAAGCTCAGACAAGCTGTATAAATTTTGGACTTTGAACAGCTGTAGAGAAGAGATAGCTACAGATAAACAGTTTATGTAGGAGGATTTGTTTAATCTCGGTTTATCACATGAGACCAGTCACTTGACTAGGTATATGTACGGGTTTACAATCACTTTAGCTCTGTGTCATGCAGATAGTGTCCTGAGAGGCCTGAAAGTTAAAGTGCTAACCACCAAGAAGGGGCGGACTGACAACTCATGGGGCCCCCGGGCAATAGGGGATCATGGAGCCCCTGAATTCTTGCCCAAACTCAAAAAAGCCTATGAAAAAGGTACCAGGGGCATCTCATGGGGCCCCCTGACCCCGGGCCCTCGGGCAGTGCCTGAGTTTCCAAATGGTCAGTCCGCCCCTGCCACCAAGATAGATGAGTGTATTATATCTATCTCTTTGGCCGTATCATCCATATCCATGAACTGACCTGGCCTAAACATTTCTAATATAAATGGCTGGTATACATCATTTTTATCCATCTCTCTGGTCACATGATGAACAGGGTTCTATTCTTCTCTCCGGCGGGGCTCACAAGAAGTGGGTTGAATAGTGCATGGCATCATTCAACCTGGAATAGCAGCAGCTGGAGGATGATATTGCTGAACAGGGAGGTGAATAATGCAGCAAAAGTAGCTTTTTTTTCCCCCAGAGGCACTGGGCTATTTAGTTATTCATTTTCTACAATTCTTGGAGCTTTAAAGCCACAATCAACTTTCAATTTAAATAAGCTGAACACATTCCAAGTGCATCAAAACACAAAATGTTACAATCTGACAGTTTGTTTTCTTCAGAAAGCAGTCACAGGGGGGGGGGGGGGGGGGGGGGGGGGGGGGGGGGAAGGAGCCTGATCCCTGCCAGCATGCTGCCAGGAAGTATCCTTGCTCCCTGTGGGTAAGCAGTGGTCCCAATGCAAGGGTCCAACAAGCCCCTCCTGAGTCAGAGATGGAGTTCTCCAGTCAGCAGGGAGCAGAAGCTTTGCTGATTGCAGAGCTATAGGTCTGACTTAGCAGTGGATGGGCTGGATCTCTGCAGAGAGATCACTGCTTACACACAGATTACAAGGGTCCCACCATGCAGCTGCTGACAGGCAAAGGTTTACCTACTAAATCCACTATTCTGAAGCACAAGAGGAGGCCCAGTACCGTAAGGATCACAGTAAATGGTGCATTACCCAGGAGAGTTACCATCAGATAGATGAATCCAGAAGCTCCATAGAAAAAACAGCGCTGTGGTGGTGGTAATAAAAACCCCACTAGGGGGAGTATCTTTATTGGAATAAGCAATGGAACATAAGAACACTTGAGACTGTGGCTTGGAGGAAGTGCCTGGGTCAGGTGGACGGCCGTCCGTTTGGGGATGATGTGCAGTGGTGATGAATGGAGTTGAGCCTGTCAGATGCAGGGACCATGTGATCGCAGCGTCCCGGGATGATGTCACCTGTGCTTTCTCAAGTCCTGGAAAGGGAGAGGTCCTGGAAGGCCGACCCTTGGCTGGTCGGTCTCCTATAAAAATGGCCGATTACCTCTCCATTTTCAGGACTTGAGAAAGCACGTGTGTGAAACATGTCATCCTGGTAACTGGCCATACCTCCCCTGCTTGCGGCAGTACGCTGGGCTTCTCCTCCGTCTCCTGGCTATCGCGCGGTGACATCATCCCAGGACGCTGTGATCACGTGGTCCTGCATCTGACAGGCTCAACTCCATCACCCACTGCACATCATCCCCGAGCAGACGGGCCGTCCACCTGACCCAGGCACTTCCTCCAAGCCACAGGCTCAAGTGTTCTTATGTTCCATTGCTTATTCCAATAAAGATACTCCCCCTAGTGGGGGTTTTATATTACTACCACCACAGTGTTTTTCTATGGAGCTAAAGGTTCATCTACGTAGGTTGTAGCTCCTTCAGAAAGGAAGAAGAAAAAAAAAAAAAAAAAAAAAAGACTTTGCACACCTTTTGCTTCAATGCACCTGGAATGTGACTTTGCAGAGTTAAAGTGATTTTCAAAAGCTGAATGTATGTAACGTTGATCCAGCGATGGTGGGGGTGCGGCTCTCCTAGCTTAATATGATGGGGGGGGGGGGGGGGGGGGGGGGGAGAAGAGGAGCCAGGAGCTCTGGAAGGGGACCCAACAAGAGGAGGATCTGGGCTGCTCTGTGCAAAACCACTACACAGAGCAGGCAAGTATAACATGTTATAAAAAAAAAAAAAAGGTTTTTTTTTTTTTTTTAGTGTTTTTTTTTATACTAAAGATTTAAATGGACTTATGTACCACCAACACCACTAAGCGTCACTCCTGTCATTAAATGTCAAATGTCAGAGCCCCTACTGCCAATTGAATTATGGACATTTAACAGCTGACAGGTGTGGGATGCTTCATGTCGGGAGAGGCCGATGCTATGTCAGCAAAGTGGATACCTTAGAAATGTTTTAGGCCAGGTCAGGTTCGTTTAAAATAATTGCGTGTTAGCATTCTAAAGTTAATAATAACTCCACTTATTTCTGATCACGGTCATAGTAAATGTTTGCTCAGGGATCTGCCCATTAGTAAAGCTGGGCTGATAATGCACAATGTGCAGGGATATGGAACAGATGTGTTTGCCTAGTGTCATTCTTCCAGTCACTTACCTTAATTGTCAGGTCTTCTTTTCCTAGAACAATATTGACTTTAACAGATGGGAGAGACAGACTGTTTTCATGGCTCTCCACGGTGGCTCGCATGGCATTCTGCAGGGAAAAGAATATTCCTGTTTATTGTATACATACAGCGGAGCTGCATTAAGAATACTGAAAGCAAGAAACCTGCCCATGCCAAACAGACTCCACAGGGTACATATATATAAAGATTTAATATTGGTTCAACCTGGCCAAAGCTTGTGGAAACTGGAAAATCACTCAAGTACACACGGCTACTTCAGTCATCTCCGCTTCCTGCAGGGTCCTGTGCAGAGGAGCTGGCCAGATGCATTCTGAACACAGGAGGTTGCCTGCTCTACATGGGCGCCATTCATACAATGCTTTGCATTTTCTCAATGATAGCAATGTGTTTTCTGATTGGACAAGGTGGAGAATGGGATGTCACTGCCCTGCCTGTCCACCTTGTCCAATCACAGAACGCTTTGCATTCATTCAGAAAATGCAAAGCATTCAGTAAATGGTGCCCGTGTTGAGTGGCCGACTTCCTGTGTTCAGAAAGTGTCAGACTGGCCCCTGAGCACTGAACCCCGAAGCAAGTGGAGATTACGGAGTAGTGGTATCTGCTTCAGTGATTTTCAGCTTTCAGGGAAATCAGCCAGGCACAGTATACACTTAGTTTCACTAATCCAAGCTGGACCAATGTAACTAAAACCTTTTGTGAAATTCATCTTTAACCACTTGCCTACCGGGCACTTATACCCCCTTCTTTACCAGGCCAATTTTCAGCTTTCAGTGCTGTCGCATTTTGATTGACAATTGCGCGGTCATGCAAGATTGTACCCATATGAAATTTTTATAATTTTTTTCTCACAAATAGAGCTTTCTTTTGGTGGTATTTAATCACCGCTGGGCACTTTACTTTTTGCACTATAAACAAAAAGTGTGCAAAAAATGTGTAAAAAAAAAAAAAAAGTTTTTGTTTCTATTATAAAATTTTTCAAACAGGTAATTTTTCTCCTTCACTGATGTGCGATGATGAGGCAGCACTGATGGGCACTGATAGGCGGCACTGATAGGCGGCACTAATGAGGTGTCACGGATAAGCAGCACTGATAGGTGGCACTGAATGGCATCACTGCTGGGCACTGACTGGCGGCACTGCTAGGCATTGACTGGTGCAACCGCTGGGCACTGACTGGTGGCAGCACTGCTGGGCTGCATTGATGGGCACTGGTGGGTGGCACTGGTGGGTGCACTGCCGAGCACAGGTGGGCGGAGCTAGTGGGCAGCACTGCTGGGCACAGGTGGGCAGAACTGGTGGGTGGCGCTGCTGGGCACCGATCATCAGGACACTAATCATCAGTGCCCTGATGATCGGTGCCGATCCCTGCTCTGACAACTGCTGGTTCTCGGCAGTACTTTCCTCGTGCTCCGACAGCGTGAGGAAATTGCAGCCGAGAATCGGCAATTGCATTTCCCGGTGATCAGCGTGTCATTGGACACGGCTGATCACGTGGTAAAAGGCCACTGTGATTGGCCTTTTAGCACATCACGTGATCAGCTGTGTCCGTAGGACACAGCGATCACGGAGATCGCCGGATGCGCGCCCAAGGAGTGCGCGTTCTGGGAGTACGTCATATAACGCCCTCCCAGAACAAGCCAGCTGCAGTGTAGCCGTCATTCGGCTATCTGCGGTTGGCAAGTAGTTAAATACACCATTAAAAAACAGACTACACATAGGAGCCAAATAGCAAAAGATTTCTATATCCATTCATTAAATCCTTAGATTTAAAATGGCCATACACGGAGTGAATATTGGCCAGTTCCTCATTCATTTTCCCTGTCCGCTGCCTCCCACCTGACACCCCTCGACTGAAAAATTGAAAGGAGCAAAATGGACAATTGTCAGCAGCAGCCAATCAGATGCAGGCACCATTCATGTCTTTCGACAGATAGAGGGTCCAGCTGCCAAAATACAATAGCTGCAGTGGGACATTCATCCATCCACACCGTGTAACATGGATGGAGAAATCTGATTGTTTTCTATTCAGCACTATACGTGTATGGAGTCAGCTTTACACAGCCCAGGCAGCCTTGTAGCCAGACTTTTCTGATGCCGATAAGAAAAAAGGCTAGGTCACCTCCCTGCCCCCAGCCTGTGAATGGACAGTGGTGCAGCAGCAGCAGCAGACTGATGAGGTCATCTTTCTGCCCTACCTTTCTGTCAGCATGTACTTTGTCAACACATGTGAATGCTAGACACCTGAATGGCTCCCAGTGCCACTCCTCCCACCTCCAGTCTGAGTGCTGCTGTACAAGCGATTACAAAAGACTGATACCAAGTCAAATTAAAAACATTTAATGAATGAGGTTTGATACATCCAGAAATACAGTCACGGTGTTTAATGCCTGGAGTTCAGTTTTAATCTGGGCTCTGAAAATACACTGAACTCAAGTGTCCTCAGTTTGGCCCTACTATGCCACTATGAACCGCCAAGTATGAAAGGCAACGCACTAAATTTAGCTGGAGGCAGCAAGTTACAGGACAGGGCATGTGAATTGTGGTGGCGTTACTCTAAGGACGATATGTGATATGGAGGGATCTGTGAAAACATCCCCGACAGCTGACAGATATGCCAATATGCAGGAGGAAATTGTACTGAGCACACAAGCCCAAAAGGTTAGCCACAAACCTGGTTAATTCCAACCAGACATACTGCATAAATTATAAATATTCCATGTACAGAGCGAAGACACAAGGATACTTCGTTTTAATCTGATTTTTAGCATATTTAGACTATGGTTATATTTAAGGTTGGACGGATGGGTATATACAGGGGTGGACTGACAACTCATGGGGCCCCTGGGCAATAGGGGATCATGGGGCCCCTGTGTCCTTGCCCAAACTCAAAAGCCTATGAAATAGGTACCAGGGGCATCTCATGGGGCCCCCTACTGACCCCGGGCAGTGCCCGAGTTTTCAAATGGTCAGTCCGCCCCTGGGTATATATTTATGTGTAGTTATGATGAATTGTAATAATGCTGCAGTACAGAGTATTATGAGACATTGTATGTATACGACAAGTAAAGTATTTTATTTTGCTTATTTTTATATTGTTTTATGACAGTTATTTTCAACTGAGTAATGAGAATAAAAAATTGCAGTCACATGGCAAAATAAAAAAAAGAAGAAGAGGGATACTTGACTTTGGTAGTTGAGAAGTTACTGAGCACACAGTATACATCTACTTCAAAATATATTCTTTTCTATGTAAAAGAAAAAAAACATTACTCATTGCATCCTCACCTTGAAAAGCTCAAACAGCATGTGGTAGAGGTGAGAAGGAACATACACCATACTTATAGGCTGTCCAGGCGATTTTGCTGTTGAAAAATAAAAGGATTGATTGAAAAGATTATAAAATATATGTAGAACAGGGGCGACCTGACCATTTGGAAACTCTGGCACTGCCCGAGGGCCCGGGGTCAGTAGGGGGCCCAGTGAGATGCCCCTGGTACCTTTTTCATAGCCTTTTTTGAGTTTGGAAAAGGACACAAGGGCCCCATGATCCCCTATTGCCTGGGGGCCCAATGAGTTGTCAGTCCGCCCCTGATGTAGAATATGCAATTTTATGTAATTCTAATGATCAAATGTGTACCAAGAACTGCAGAAATGACAGCACCGTGTAATCCAGTTACGTAGTCAGTAAAACAGTCACTAAATCTAACATTCAGCTTGTAGAAGGTGAATTTTGTCTTTATATCAGCTTTTTGTAATCCTCCATACAACACCAGAGAGGTGAGATGACACTGAGCCAAACAGGGATTTTTCTGCATTGCACAATGCTGTCAGTCTAATAATTTGAACACTGCTACAGGAAGGAGGAGTACAGGGATGACCTCATCAACATGCTGCTGCTCCACTGTCAAATCAGCAGGCTAGGGGTGGAGTATCAGTGACCCAGCTGTTGGGCATATCTGCGCCTTGAAGCAGGAAGCTGGCTAGGCTAAAAAAGGGTGTCTGGATCAAAAGTCTGGCTGAGCAGAATTACAAATCCTTTTAACAGAGTGTGTGTATCTATCTATATCTATCTCACACCTAAAGTTTTATGAGAAATCTGCCTTGAGATAATAAGCGTTCATTGTGCTATGTGGCATGCACTAGGTCTGGTACCTTGCCTACAAAACAGCAGTTGACCCCCCATTTTTTTTTTTTATTCCGATTTCTGTTTTTAGCACTCTGTTCTTTAACTCACCATTTGACTGTTTTATCTGCAGATCAGGAGAAGCCAGATAATATTGCTCACAGAGCATTTTGGAATTCTCAAAGGCATCTGAAACATAAGAGAACCATAAATCATTTGCTGAAATGACATTTTATAATCAACAAAAATAACAAAATAAGCACAATGTAATCCCTCTCCACCAACCACCAGAGTTCAGCTTTAGAGAAATATTTATTGACTCTTAATACATCTCTATATATGTATGTTCTCAACCAGGATTTGTATTTTGCATTCTTTAATTGTATTGTTGGCTGATGAATACATGATTTCCATATTGTTCTAGATTTGTTGCAGTGTGGTTAGTTTGTTTAGAAGGAATTAGAATGAATACCCCAAACTATCTTTGAACATTAGCACACAGGTCTGCTTCTACTAACCATGCACTACTTCCACTACATCGCAGTTGGGGTCGATACTTCCAATATGTTTTGGATGGGCAGGGTTGGTTCCACCATCGAAAAGAAGAGCTAAAAAATAAAGAATGAACAGTTAGCGTGGCCAGCTTTATATATTTATACAAACAAGACAAATATCATTGCCTAAAGTGCAGACTCCAACAGCAATCAGGAATAATAATATTTCACGGATCAGAAATGTGGATAAAAGAAAAAAAAAAAAAAAAATCGAGATGTCAGTTGGTGGCAGAAATGAGTGGCTGTTTAGGATTACGTTACACCTTGGTGCCGGTATGAGTGAACCCGTGTGCACATGGGTGGGAATGGAGTCATCCCACCCCACTGAGGACCCTGAACATGCAAGAAGCCAGGGATAAGACCGGCACTGACATGGGAGCTCACACACACTGCATCAATGAAGCAGGAAGGGGGCGAGTATTTGCACATAGGCAGGAGTTACACCATCCCAGCCAATCAATACGGCTAAAGACCCTGCACCCAAAAGAAGAGAAGATGTTGGGTCCGGCAACAGAGCTTGCAGATGGTGCACTGCTGGAGCCAAAGTAACTGCGGACTTTGGTTCCACTTTGAATACCATGAAGTCAGCTTCATATAATCAATGAACAAGGTTGTTTCAGATTAATTATGCATAGTGAGTTCATAAAGTCAAAATGGCTCTTTCCCCCAAAAAAATTAAAAAAAAAAAAAAATTAAAGGAAGGCGTATATGAATGCTCAAAATATATCAAAACCCAAAATATGACCGTCTTATACCTGCCTACTGTTAAGACTTGTTTTGCACACAGAATCAGGCACTAAAATAAAATAGTAATACTAAGCAATAAAGCCACCCCCGGGTTTCCTAGAAGGATATGCACTTTTAGCTGAAAACAAAGTAATTAAACTTTGTACTATGCTTAGTCTTGAAAACACCCTGCTGAACTCTTTACCATCCGACACAATAAGGGCCTGGTATATGTACGGATATGTAGCGTGATCCTACAGAGTGCTGATGCCATTTCCCCACCAATAAGATTTAAGCTTCTAAGGCCGTCCTTAATTTGACTGGTAGCGGAGTGGAAGTAACTAGTTCTTACATAACTAGTACACATAAATCTAGATAGATATAATATCCTATATGGCAAAGGGCATGTCGTTTTACAAAGGGGTATTGACTTGTTAGAAGGCTTAATGCCTCTTGTATTGAATTGTATTGTTGCTGTATTGTCTCCCGTTATATTGTAAAGCGCTGAGCAAACTGTTGGTGCCATATAAATCCTGTATAATAATAATAATAATAATAATAATAATAAATAATGCAGTTCTTCACCCGGTTTGAAAAAATTAAGTCAGCAGCTGCAAATACTGTAGCTGCTGACTTTTAATACATGTACACTTACCTGTACAGGAATCCAGCGCCGTCCTCACCCGAAACAGTTCTTGGCCAGTCTTTGGGGCCCCGACGCTGCCACGTTTACTGTGGGCAGTCGGCCGTGATTCCTGCACTCTGAATGGTTCAGCGGGAGGAGAACTTTCGGTGGATCTGCCGCAGCGATCCAACCCAAAGTGGGAACGGTTACCTGTCAAAACCAGGTACCTTCAACGCCACCTCCCCCCCTGAAAAAAAGTACCAAAAATAGAAGAGGTGGAGGGAGGATGGTGTTTTAGGGTGAAGTTCTGGAGTTCTGGTTTAACAGCAAATCGTGCTACATTGCCAGCAATACTAATAATTTCATTTGCAGTACAGGTGTACTCCTGGGATAAGCTGCCTAATTCTAGAGGCCCATTAGGGCTACATTCAGACAGCAATTAGGATTGGAAAGTGGCATCCTTCAGCAAGAAGCAGCAGATTCCTGCAGCAGGATTTACAGGTGTATGTGAATAGCCTGTAAGCCCATACAAATTATTCACTCACTGATAGCAGGTGCATACGTTCACATGTAATTGCACATGGAGCAACTACCTGAGGTTAGAGATAGATTATTGGCCCTGGACACAGATAGATTGCATCCAGCGCCATTCATCTTTCCCCAACTTAAATGTCTAAGACATATCCTCATGGGTTACCAATGCTTTACATAGAAATGGGGCTGTGATGCAAGAGAAGCATTTTTTGCTATAGGAACAAGGTTAAAGAAAAAAAAAAAAAATAATAATTCTGGACAGGGGCGGACTGACAACTCATGGGGCCCCCGGGCAATAGGGGATCATGGGCCCCTGTGTCCTTGCCCAAACTCAAAAAAGCCTATGAAAAAGGTACCAGAGGCATCTCATGGGGCCCCCTACTGACCCCGGGCAGTGCCCGAGTTTCCAAATGGTCAGTCCGCCCGATTCTGGAACATCCTCTTACGGGAAAGAGGGAGCTTTGACAGTAAATTAGGGTAATGTCTTCGCACACGCTTTAATTATGGAATAAAGCGTAAAAACAATAAAAAAATTAAATTAAAAATACTTTACAAGTACCAGCAACTCAGTAAAACATGGATTTTCCTGCCCCTTAGCACTTTCAGTAATGACTCACAAAATCACTGCCATATATTCATGTTTGCAAAACAGAATCATGTGTTGTGATTCTGCTGTGATTCAGCAGTCTGGGAACGTCTCAGGCAAGCTGCAAGCAATAAAAAATGATTTGGAAGGCAATATCTGGACCACAGCATGCAGCCACATAGTTTAGCTCTTCAGTAAAGCAAAAAAGACAACTTCCATAACTACCAATTGCTCCTATGCCATTCATTCAACCCCATCCTGAGATACCGGCTTTTTCAATATGCAGCAAGTCTCTACCATTTATACAGAGATATGTGGCTCTAAGGAAACCATTACTTTAAGGGCCACGAAACAAATGTCATTAACTTTAACTAGTTACCAGTGCGCCCACAGCCAGAAGCACCTTAGAGAGACTGGTCACACTCCACTGGAACGAGGAAAAAGGTAAAAATATGACTTCTTATTCCTGCAACCCCAGATATAACAACTAGTTAACCCTTTGCAGTGCAGAAGGTCCCCCTGAAAGGGTAGATTCTGTCAGATTACTGGAGTAGGGCTTTAAAAGTACTGAGCGCAAGTAAACAGGAGTGTGGGACATGTGCCTAGATGGAAACAAAAAGTCAATTTTTTCATCTACAAATACACGGCCATCGATCAAATGTACCGCTGGGAAACTAGGTCAGCAGTGATCTCCGGACAGAGTGTACAGATCCTTACTGTGTTGGTTAATTAGCATCCTGATGGAGATTCGGCTCATGTAGAAACGGTCTAGAAAGTACTGGACATTCTGATTGGTCACGGGATCCACCCCAAAGGCTTCTTTGTATTCGATAACCCCTTGGGCCATGGTGGGGACGACGTTGTTGTGCCGGTTCCGGATGTGGACCAGAGTCTCTGTAAAGCTGGAGGACAAACATTGGCATTTAGTGGAATTTTACAAAAAAACAAAAAAAAAACTAAAAAACAAAAACTAAAAAAAAAAAAAAAAGAAAAAAAACAAAACAAAACTAAATACAATATAAAATGGCAGCTGTTTAACATTTAGAGATGTGACTCCCTAGTAGATTTTAAGCTATTCCACATTTTGTATCCTTCCTCGTACCCCAACAGACTAAACTCTTCCAACTTTTAAACCCTACTTCACCCTAAAAGATTTGTAAACTTACACCTTCTGTATCCCCCCTTATACTCTTTAATTTATTTCAGGTACTTGTATAGCGCCGTCAATTTACACAGCACTTTACACATATATATTGTATATTCACATCAGTCCCTAACCCTCAAGGGGCGTACAATCTAATATCCCTAACTTACATTCATACATACACATACTAGGGGCAATGTAGATGGGAGCCAATTTACTTACCAGCATTACTTTGGAGTGTGGGAGGAAACTGGAGTTTCCGGAAGAAACCCACGCAGGCACAGCGAGAACATGCAATCTCCAGGCAGGTGGTGCCGTGGTTGGGATTTGAACCAACATCCCTAGTACTGCCAGGCAGAAGTGCCAACCATTTAGCCACTGTGCTGCCCTATTTTAATGACTGTAAGCTCCTCTCCATTCTATGTCCTCTCATGTCCCATTAGATTTTAAAATTTCAGTTCTTAGCTGAGTACGGGGCTTAGGGAGGTGGAGGTGGAGAAACAGCAGAACACAGAACTTCCCAGCTGCACAGGGAGGGCATGATATCACAAGTCTGATCATTGGAGGACAAGCAAGCTGTTCTCCCAGCACAGCTAGAAAACTGACCTTGCTGTGCTCTCATGCACATAGTCACTGAAATAGGATTTCACACAAATGAAGCAATACAAAGAGAACAGGATATTTTTGCCACAAGTACATGGTAGAACAGGCACATAGCAAGAATGTGAAATGTTGGGGTAACAATCTTTAAACCCAAATAGACTAACGTTCCCACCTTTTGAATCCTCCACATACTCTGATAGATGGTAAACCTTTCGCATTCTGTATACCTTCCTTATACCTCAACTAATTCTTAGCATATAAGGATACAGAAGGTGGAAGAGCTTACAACCGGGTTGTAAGGAAGATTCAAAAGGCTGAATGGGGCACTATTCCTTCCACTGACACCAATGGGGCACTATTCCTTCTACTGACACCAATGGGGCACTATTCCTTCCACTGACACCAATGGGGCACTATTCCTTCCACTGACACCACTGGGGCACTATTCCTTCCACTGACACCAATGGGGCACTATTCCTTCCACTGACACCAATGGGGCACTATTCCTTCCACTGACACCAATGGGGCACTATTCCTTCCACTGACACCAATGGGGCACTATTCCTTCCACTGACACCAATGGGGCACTATTCCTTCCACTGACACCACTGGGGCACTATTCCTTCCACTGACACCAATGGGGCACTATTCCTTCCACTGACACCAATGGGGCACTATTCCTTCCACTGACACCAATGGGGCACTATTCCTTCCACTGACACCAATGGGGCACTATTCCTTCCACTGACACCAATGGGGCACTATTCCTTCTCTTACTGACCACACTTACCCCAGTTTTTCCTTCAAACCCGCCACCCAAGTCTACATGAGAGTAAACTAGCCCTTTGATTAGAACATTTGGAATTCCCTGTCCTAGAGGACTGTACACTCACCCTTCAGCAACCTCCCTTATACCTTAATAGACCGTATGCACATTCACATTTTCAATTACTCCCTTCTGATCAAAAGCTCTTGAAACAAATTGAGAGTCATAAAACACAGGCAGTCCCAGCATTGGGCAAATTACAGTCTACTGTATTGTGCTGCATAGTATGTACAGTATTCGGAATGGTAAAATTAAACTAAGAGCTGATAAAAAAACAAACAAACAAAAACTAGGATTTAGAATCACACTATGTACCTTTACCTAGCCATTTTACATGGTCTATCTGACACTGAAAAAGGTCATGGATTACCCTGTGTCAGTATTGTGAACTTGGCTTTCAAAAACCCCTTCTTAAACCTTTCATATGACACCGCCTTGGGGAAAACAAAGGGGAAGTGCTACAGCTACATGGAAACAAGTCTGTCTTGTTGTGTATACACTCCGCTTTCTCTTTCTGAACTGATCCAATCATTCGGCTGATCAGTGCACTGTTGTGACAAAGTGCCGTGACATTTCATCTCCTGCGCCTTCGGCGGGTGACAACATTAAAAACAATTTCGTCTTAATTTGTAAAAACAAGACACTTACTCAGACAGAACCCTCTGGTCATCTGGGCACTTTTCCACAAATTCTATTAGCTCCATCAAACTCTGGATGTACCTGAAAAAGAGAAGACCTCATGAAATATGAAAAGGGGGGCAAAGCAGTGATTTAAAAAAAACAAAAAAACAAAAAAAAAAAAAAAAAAAAACTTAAAAAAGGAGAACCTGTCAGAAAAGTAAAACAGGAGCTGCCAGATTATGGACTTGTATATGAATAAGGACCCTTGCATACGGTGCTGTCTAAGAGCAGTATGTCTGTCCTGGTGTTGTAGTGCTGCAGGTAACCTATCAAAGTTTATGTCAGGCTGCGGCTGGATGGGACTGAATGCTGTACCAAGTGTATTCGGGGACAGAGCCTTGGAACACAGAAGACCTGCATTCGGGACCTTTGTCCATGAATGCACAGGACCCTAGACGTGGGTACCTCTCAGTACAGCGTTTGGTGCAGGCCAGCTGCAGCCGGCATGGATTCTGACATACTGCCTGTAGCGGGGCTGGACGCTGCTGTAGTGGATTGTGATAGACAGTCCACGTTTTATTAGATGATCAGTAAAATGACAATTTTATAGTCTTGCTACTTTCTGCTTCTTGCTCTTAAATTCCTACTTTCTGCTTCTTGCTCTTAAATTCCTTACTCTCTTCAATCAGATATAGGTTGACAGAACAATGATGATAATTAAGATGGCGCCTTCATCCAGAGTCTCACCCTAGGTGACTAACAAACAACCCCCATAAAAAGGGAATGATTCGTTTTGGGGACAATGATTGGAAGATATCAACACGGATGGAAGAACACGCAGAAACCCAGTGGACTTTTCACCCAATCAATGTATATGCTTTGCCTGCATCATAAGACCTATAAATGATACTGTTAGTTTCTCAATGAAACAGAATTTTAGGAAGTTGGCAAACTGCAACAGTGTCAGTGTCTTGCTTCCACGTGCACGTAATTCTATATTAATTTGGCTCACTGGTAGATCACGGTAAATGGTCTGTAGGTGACCGAGTCCAAAACACTGCACTTCTCCTTCCCAGGCGCACTAACATGCCAGAAGGTACGCACTGCTCCTAGATGACGACCAAGTGCAAGGGGCCTTAAGGGGATATTTATTTTTGGAGAGTCTTTTTTAGAAAAACCATGCGTATAAATCAAACATCTACACACCTGGTGGTCACATACATGTTGGAGGCCAGTGATGGACCAAGTAGATAAGAAAGGATAAAGATGAGAGCCCTGACACCTCCATAAATAGGTCATCCTTACTGAGTTCGCTTTACAAAATTCTCATTTTCATTTGAAAGTCAGTCTTATGCTGGCCATACATGCACTGACAGAATACAAAGACTTCATCATAAAGCCAACATGTTTCGAGGGTCAAGAAATATCCCCCTTCATCAGGGCTTAAAATGAGAAGTAGTTGTTATTAAAGACTGGACTAAATACAAAACAAAAGTTTTGGCTATAGATACATTGCAAGACTGATTATCAATGATTTGCTCAAGCCCAATTCTAAATAGTTCTCTTTAATGTCAGATTTTATAAGAGCAATGAGACAGCATGGCTGGGGATATACCCATGGAAAAGGGAAAAGAATCTAGCAAAATCTTAAAAAAACAAAAAAAAAAAACCCTACAATAATGAATCAGGAAATAGGGCTATATAAACTGACCTATGAAGTCCGTGGCTTTAATAAGTTAGGACACTTACTGTTAAGCCGGCTATAGATGGATCAAATCTCAGCTGGTTCAGCAGAGACCGGCCAGAATTTGATTCATTTATGAGCAGGCTGGTTGTACTGAAGTTGATCCAATCACTTGAGTTCAGAACAACCAGCCTGGTTTTTTGCTGCAGCAGTGATCAAGGTGTTCTGCAGGACCAGGTGGTTTCCTGCAGGCAGAATACAATAGAGCTTCGGGAGAGATTTCTATTTTCAAGCCATTTTCTTTCCTTCCACCCATGGAACAATCTATGGTTTGCCTTAAGCCATCCATAGGTGGTTCGAATCTTGGCCAGCAGGTACCAGCTGAAATTCTAACCATCTATGGGCAGGCTGATTGTACTCAATTCGATTGTTGTATGACTTGGATACAAACAGCATGTTGAATTTTTACACGCAACTATAGCCACTAGCAATAAATCACTGTTCTCCCAGAAGGGACGGCACCCCCGCCTGGAGAATATAAATGGCTCAACGGAAGGTATTCCCGGTGTTGATGGGGGAATTAAACCATTATTGTATCATCTATGGCCTGCTTTACACTGTTCCCTAGATATTATATTATTATTATACAGTATTTATAAAGCGCCGATGGTTCGCTCAGCGCTGTACATCACAAAGGGGGACAGAACATGTGACAGAACAATAACAATACAATGCAAAACATGAGGGGTTCGAGGGCCCTGCTCTTTGGAGCTTACAATCTAGGAGGGAGGGGATGGTAGCACAGGAGGAGATAGCTGTGGGGGATGGAGTGGTAGGAAGAGTGGAGGAGGTCGGCAGGTTAGCAGGGGGTGGGGTAGGCTTCCCTGAAGAGATGGGTTTTCAGGGTGCGCCTAAAGGAGAGGAGAGTAGGTGATAATCTGATGGGTTGGGGCAGAGGGTTCCAGAGGATGGGTGACACCCTGGAGAAGTCCTGGAGGCGGGCATGGGAGGAGGAGACCAGGGAACTAGAGAGAAGGAGGTCTTGTGAGGAGCGGAGTGTGCGTGTTGGGCGGTACTTGGATATTAGGTCGGTGATGTAGTTCGGGGCAGTATGGTGGACAGCTTTGTACGTCAGTGTTAGGATTTTGAATTTGATCCGTTGCGCAATCGGAAGCCAGTGGAGGGATTGGCAGAGGGGGGTGGCGGAGACGGAGCGGTTGGAAAGGTGAATGAGTCTGGCTGCCGTATTCAGGATCGACTGAAGTGGGGATAGCCAGCGGCGAGGCAGGCCAGTGAGGAGGGAGTTGCAGTAGTCGAGTCGTGATATGATGAGGGAGTGGATGAGCTGTTTAGTGGTTTCTGGGGTTAGGAACGTGCGGATTTTGGCGATGTTGTGGAGGTGGAGTCTGCACGAGTTTGTTAAAGATTGGACTTGAGGCTGGAAGGATAGGTTGGAGTCCAGAATGACACCAAGTACTCTGGCCTGCGGGGCGAGTTTGATGGTGGCGTTCCTGGATGTGATGGAGAAGTCAATGGGGGGGGTGGTGTCCGGTTTGGGGGGGGGAAGACAAGAAACTTGGTTTTGGAGAGGTTCAGTTTAAGAAAGTGGGTGTTGTAAGACCCCTGTAATGCATGTACACACCCATGTACACACGGACAAGGGACAAAATACACAGAGATGTTGTTGGCATATACTGTCTTTACACCCCGGTCACATCAAAGCCGATTTTAAAATTGTAAGACTTACAGTGAAGTCAAAGTCGGGCGACTTGCCGATTTGAGGTGCGATCTGCAGAACATCTGACAGATGTCTATTTATTTATTTCAGGTACTTATATAGCGCTGTCAATTATGCAAAAATTGCCCCAAAAAGTAGTGCATGTACTACTTTAGAAAATCGGTGCGGCTCCGACCAAGACAGAATTGCACAGATATGACCGCTCTAATAGCGGACAATAGGGTGCGACTTGGCATACGATCTCCTGGCATTCAAATCGCACTCTATGTGACCGGGGTGTTATTGATCTACTTGTGATAGGAGGAGCTCATCTTTACTGTAAATATATATTGTGGAGAATACACACTGTACACCTTTTGTGGACAAGTGGATCAAATGTCAATAGTTACATAGTCCTGTTTACATTGGGATGGACACTTCTGATGCATCTGGATGTTAGGATATGCACCCTTTGCAACATTCCATGGTTTGTTATTTGCAACCACTATTAAAAAAAAATAGTGTGTACAAAAATAATTTTTTTTTCTTATTATTATATATATGTAATAAATAAAAAAAATAGTGTGTACAAAAAAAAAAAATTATTATTATATATTATATATATATATATATATATATATATATATATATATATATATATATATATATATATATATATATATATATATATATATATATACATACACACACATATATACATACATACACACACACACACACACACTTTTTTTTTTTTCCTTATAAATGCCAATTTCCTTGAAGAAAGACCTGGCAAAGCATGCCACCACGGCACATGCAATTTCAATCTGCTAGCTCATATGAAGCCAGTCTGCTCCTGTGAGATTTCTGGAAATGTCCCAGCTTCATTCAGAAGCTTTAGATAAGGAGTTGGGAACAAACTGTTCAGTACCACCTGTGCCCGTGTGCCAGGTTAGATATGGTCTACACTACACAAGCTGTTTACATAGAGACGGCCTCATAGCTGGGTGTGTGCCCTTATTACGCACTCCGTCATGGAACAATTCCATTCTGAATTACAGGCCAGCATTAGGAGGCGGCCAGTTCAACGAGTCCACAAAGAAAGATGAACAGTGCATGCTGGTTTATGATCACCAAGTGGTGCCAGCCTAATACAGGTTTCTTCTGACACTAGAAAATCTTTGGTTAGGAAAGCATAAAAATATTAAATAAAAAACAACAATGCTTTATACCATCCCGCACGTCCCCTGTGTATTTTTAGATATGCTGCAAGTACAGGTTAGCAGTTGATCTGCCAGAAATCCATTGAGCTCCTAACTTCCTGTTTGGCCTGACAACACTGTGGGGTTATTTACTAAAACTGGAGAGTGCAAAGTCTGGAGCAGTTCCGCACAGAAACCAATCAGCTTCCAGTTTTTTTTTTTTGTTAAAGCTTAATTGAACAAGCTGAAGATAGAAGCTGATTGGCTACCATGGACGGCTGCACCAGAAAGACCAAGCAGCGCTGTCAACATTGCCTGCTGGACTACAGAACTCCACCTATACCTCACCCCTCTCTATAGCTATACAATACAAACAAAGAAATTCTGCTACCCTGACTACCAAGAGCCTGCGTACAGTGTGCAGAGAAAAAGGCTCTTGGGAACTGTCGTTCTGGGGCTGGTGTACCTTTCAGCCCTTGCAAGGGTTTCACAAGCCTGGTGACGTCATAGGGAGTAATAAAACAGTTTTCTTGCTACAGCACCAAGGTAACAGAAAAAACATTGCTCTAAATGGGGAGACCGATTACTCAGTGTAAAAGTATCATCAATTTCTTGTGCTGTTTATCATCATTATATAATCTGTGCCTGTTTTGCTTGGGCTATGACACTATTCTTCTGGGATCTTTGTACAGAGAATGTCTGTATTCATTTGTTACTTTTTGAATGCCATCAGATCTGCCCAGGGGCAGACTGACAACTCATGGGGCCCCCGGGCAATAGGGAATCATGGGGCCCGTATCCTTGCCCAAACTCAAAAAAGGCTATGAAAAAGGTACCAGGGGCATCTCATGGGGCCCCTTACTAACCCTGGGCCCTCGGGCAGTGCCAGAGTTTCCAAATAGTCAGTCCGCCCCTGCATCTGCCTAAACATTAAAGATTTATTTAGCGAAGGTGTCTGTCCTCCCAGTCTGAGTACAGGATAAAACAGAGGCACCACCACTCTGATAAATGTCTGGAATAAGACTTTATTTGCAATCACCAAGGAAAGGCCACCACGCTTCACAGTTCAAAGTTCTCTTCTTCAGGGCTGAATATGAGAACAGATCAAAAGCATTAAATCTGGACCAGACAGCGGCATCAGAAGGATGGGTGTTTAATAAAAATGACATTGGGGGCTTTATACCCACTGTAGTTCTCCTGCCAAAATAGAGCAAAGCCTCCAATGTGAAGACGTAAAAGAAAGTTTGGCCAAATCTTTTTTAAATCATACTTCTCTTCTGGGTCACAGGCGTGCACTTATTTCTGCTTTTCTGTGACCCAGATTCAAGTGACAGTGGGCTAAATGGTGCTGTTGGCTGACAGACACTCCAGCCTCTGGAAGGATCCCTGCAATGTTGGGATCCACCCAGATGCCTAACTGATATTCAGTTCCAGCTCTTACAGCCAAAAAGACAGTTGCGATCCCCCCCCCCCCTCCTCTCCAGGACTCCAAAGCACTGGAGGGAAGAGCAGAGAGTGGTGACTGACAATCATTGCTCTCTGCTCAGAGCAGACCAAGAACTGAGTGATTAGGGGTCATGCGATTGCTCAGTTCTCAGGTTTAGAGCAGGTGGGCGGCAGCTGCAACATCACAACAATGCTGCAGTATGGAGATGAGTATGGACTTTTTTTTTTTTAAAACCTTGTCTTAATTACCAGTCTTTATGATACCATTGTCTGGACAAAATGCATGTCTTTTGATCTTATTAAGGCCTTTAGAGGAACCTCTACATCCCACTGGCTCCCGCTGCTGTCAATCACGGCCAGTAAGCAAGTGAGGAGAGAGGGCAGGGGGGGGGGGCCGTGGCTCTATGTGCCTTATGGACACAAAGAAGCAGCTCGGGAACAAGCGCACAGCTGTGCCCCCAGAGCAAGCAGCTTTCTCTGGAGGCACTGCTCAAGGGGGAGGAGCCAGGAGCGCCAGTGGGAACCAGAAAAGGATCAGGGCAGCTGTGCGCAAAACTACTGCACAGGGCAGGCATGTTTGATATGTTTTTATTTTATATTAAGGAAAAAGGAAGCTTTAGTTATCGCTAAGTAATCCAGAGACTATCACCACCACAAAACATCTGACTTCCATTCTGAGTGGCAGACATTTAAAACTCAAAATTCTTCAAATACATTTCTTTTTTTTAGCACTTTCAAGGCTACGTGAAGATTTTCATACTGCAAGTTTGCTCTTTGTGCCGGACTCCGAGAAACGCAGCAGGTGTAGAAGTGTTTCTGCTCAAGCAAAACACCTTCAGAGTCATCAGTTGAGTATTTTGGACGGATGGTCTGATCTAATGAGTAACCAGAAGGTCAGAGAGGCGGTGGCTCGGAGCACCCGTGTGCCTGAACCCTGCTTGTCAAACATTAAAGGGATCTGGAAAAACAATTTACCTAGAAAAGAGTTTTGTAAGAGGCAGCAGGCCATGTCAGGTTATGTAAAGCTGAACTCCAGACAAACCGCCGAACCTGTATAAAGGAACAGACTTATCTGCCAATTAACTTGTATTTCTCTACATCTAGTCTATTGAATAAAGTGATACTAAAGGTTCAGATTTTTGTAAAATAACAAACCTGCTCTGTTCAAAGGTTTTGCACAAAGCAGCCCAGATCCTCCTGTTCTCGGGTCCACCGCTGGTGCTCCTGGTTCCTCCCCCCTGCTGAATGTCCCAAAAGCAAGCTGCTTGCTCTGGGGGCACTCGTGCGTGCTTGCTCCCAGGCCACCTGTGTGTGTCTATATGGCTCCCGCTGCTGTGTCTCAGCCAATGAGGAGGGAGAGACCCAGGAGAGCCGCCGCTCTTGTGCACATCCCTGAATCAAGATCGGGCTCAGGTAAGTATTAGGAGGGGCTGGAGGGGGGAAACTGCACACTAAAGGTCTTTTTTTTTTTTTTTTTTTTTTTTTTTTTTTTTTTTTTTTAGGTCCGGGCCATGGATAAGGGGGTAGTACCAGTCCTCCTGTATGGGGCCCAGGCAGATGGGTGAATTGGATGTGGGCAGGGAGGGTGATCGGCGTGGCCGGGGGAGCAATTACTGGAACAGATCCCCTGTATGGCTCTCCCTGCAGCAGCTGAAAGCGGCTTCTTCTCTCTCCCCCAGTGACTTTCAGCTGAAGCAGAGAGTGCCAGACTGGGGATCGGTTTCAGTAATTGCTTTCCTACTGCACGCATTACCCTCCCTGTGCTCCATACATTTCCCCTACTGCCTTGACCCCCCCGTGTACCCCAACACCCACAGTACTGCCACCTTTCCTCCTCTCCTTCCCTCCTTCCCACCGGCAACTGCAAGCTCACAATAGGATCAATCAGGCCGGAGAGTGGGGGAAGGGTCTAGTAAATGTCACATTTACCAGCCCCTTCCTTTCCTGAACACAATGAGTGATCAGTACTGATCACTCACTGTGTTCATTCATAACTCTTTTTTTAATGAATTTTTTTTTTTTGGGGGGGGCTTTCAGGTTGGCTGTATGGGGCCCATGGGTTTCTAACAGCAGCCCTGATGAAGGTAAAAAAAAAAAAAAAAAAAAAAAAAAAAACCTTCAGCATGTCAAATTACTTTAAGGTCTCATTTACACTAGCATTGCCTTCAGAAGAGTGATCCACGTGGATTGCTCTTCAGAGGGTGTTTGACAGGCAGCGAAGAGGTTTTAACCCTTAAAAGCCCCACTCCCTTGAATAGGTCAACTTCAGCAGGCTGTACTGCCCACCAAATACAACAGAGGGGATAACTTTTGCTGCACCACAATACAAAGCATTGTGTCACAGCATGCTTCCAGCCCAATATAGCTGCCATTGCAGCTTGGCGGAGGCTGTTGGGGCGCAGCAAAAATGTGGCTAAACCCAGTGTTTTACCCCCCCCTCCCAAATGCAAGTGTAAACAAGGCCATACAGTCCTACCACACAGCACAGCCAGCCTAATGACTATTTTTCAATCCTGCAATTAAGTAACACTGCCGGGTCACAGCCTTGTGGATGGACAGTGACGGAGCAGCAACAGACTTCATAAAATCAGCTCTTTGTCCTCTCCCACTGTCAGCAAACTCCCTGTGAACACGTGAATAAAGCATACCTGAATGCTATTGCTCTGGGCCCTCTTATTACTTCTGTATTGAACTGTACTGTAATTGTACTGCCCCCCCCTTATATTGTAAAGCACTGCGTAAACTGTCAGTGCTATATAAATTCTGTATTATAGTAAGAATTGAAAAATAATAATAAATGTTAATAAAAAATTATTATTATTATTAATAAAATAATAATGTTAGAATTAATAATAATAATAATAATAATAATAAATTATTGGTACCCCTCCTACTCACAGTCAGAGAACTGCTGAAGAGGATTACAAGTGGCTAAAATATATATATATATTTTTTTAAATCATTTACGGAGTATTTTCCTTATCACTGCTGGGAGCTTAGCAATGGCCAGCTCAGAGATTCCCATTAAACCAGAACCCTCTAGTTGCTTGGCTTTAATGCGGACTCCTCTATGCTTTCACTGGCGCGTTTCACCACCCTATTGAGTCTATGACAGTCAGTGTCTGCTGAGCCGCCTTAGCCATTTACTGACCATTAGACATAAGCAGGAATAAGCAGAATGTGATGGGACAGCCAGGGCTGGGGCATGCACCCTTGATTTACTCACCAACTCTGCACAAGCTGAACAGACGGGGTCCCCAGCAGGGGATCTGGGAGGATGTAGATCTCACGCATGATATTGGCCAGCCTCACCGGTAACTCCTGCCGCAGGAAGACAAAGGAGGTCTTCTCACATCCATTGGCAGATCCTACAGAAATAGAAAACAAATATGCTTTAATATGTTTAAAGATGTTACCAATGCACCTACATATCAAAAAGTGTATGGAAACCCAAAAAAGAAATAATATATTGCAGCTTACCAGTCCGTAGACGTGGAGGCTGTATTAGTTTTCTTTTTCCAAGTCCCCCCCCTGTTTGTGCTTGTCCCTTCGTTACATTTTAACCTGCTGATCCTGCCAGTAACACTCGTTCTCTAGAGTGACAACGCCCACTCCTGAACTTTATCTAAGGAGGAGCAGCACGATTACCCTAGAATAGGAAAGGTGTTGGGACTACACTTCTCATCTCAATAACATGGGGGAACCTGTTCTGTAGTTCACAGAGGGAGCAGAGAACACGGATAACTGGCATCACAGGGTGTTTTTGTGCTCGCTGGATTTTTAGAGGGATCATACTATTATTAATCTTCTTATATAGGATTTATATCGCACTAATAGTTTGAACAATTTACAATATAAAGGGGGACAGTACAATTATAATACAGTTCAATACAGAAGGAATAGGAGGGGCCGGCTCATGGAGCTTACAATCTAAAGGAAGGGGGAGGTGACACAAAAGGCGATAGCTGCGGGGGATGATCTGGCAGAGGTGATTCAAGTACAGTTCTTAGGTGGAGGTGGGGTAAGCTACCCTGAATAAGTTTTCAAAGATCACCTAAAGGCAGACAGGGTGGGGTCTGACCGGACATACTGTGGTAGGGAGTTCCAGAGAATGGGAGAGGTTCTGGAGAACTCCTGGAGGGAAGCATTGAAGGAGGACTTTTTTCCCCACTTATCAAACGGATACAAAACCCCTCCAATGGTATATTTCACAGACTAAAAGTGAGGAAATTACAATGAGAATATCTGACGAATGATCTGTTTTTTTTAATGCTAGTCTCCATATTGATAATGAAAAGGTTAGCAAGATTCTTGTATGAATAATAAAAATTTGGAAGTGATGTATATGTATTGTATTTAAGGATGAAGACTGTACTGAATAAACAAAAATCGTACAAGAAAAAAAAAATGTTTGTGCTTGTCCCTTCGAATAATTTTGGACCAAAGCTGCGCACGAACGATCAGATTATCATACGCTCACTTAGAAATTGGTATCTTTCATAGAATTTCTGATCGTGTCCTAGGCTTTAGGTTCTACATACAAACAAGTGTAACTTACCATCTATAGACCTCTTAATACATCTCCTTACAAATGTAGATCTCTCTCTCTCTCTCTGAAACTATATATATCTATATCTATCTATAAACCAGAAACTATATATCTATATCTATCTATAAACCAGAAAATATATATATATATATATATATATATATATATATATATATATTCTGGTTTACAAAGAGATAGATATAGATATATATAGTTTCTGGTTAACAAAGAGATAGAGAGAGATATAGATATAGATATATATATATATATCTATATCTCTCTCTCTCTCTCTCTCTCTCTCTGTAAACCAGAAAATATATTTTTTATATATATTTATACACACACACACTTTCTGGTTTACAAAGAGCATCATCTCATACGGTATGATATGGAACTCTGGAAAATCTGGATAACAGCAAATTCCTGGAGATCCCTTCATACAACATGGCCTTGGAAGTCAGAGCTGCACTTACAACCGCTGTCCAAACTTCACCCAGATAAGGCGTCAGCCGAGTGTATCCAGGGCAGGGACTGAATGCCTACAAACTACACTTCATTTAATCACATCTGTTGCTTTAGAGCTTCAGTTCACATACCAATTATTCATGCCAAGTCCATCTCCAACAAGGGTAATCCAGACTAATTAAATTCATAAGCAGAGGCATATCAAACCTAGTGAGAAGTACACATCAAAATAATCAGTATATATCCAAAGCTGTGAAATTAAATGCAGATCCTGAATTGTCCTGTAGAAGTCGAGCTAGGTCTTGCCCAAATTTCTGCCTCATCCTCTCAATTTGTCCTTCAATATAATAGGTGGCCTAAATGATAAATCGGGTGTGCTTTGTTTACTTTACTTGGTATGTCCCTCTGGCCCCCCCCTTCTATCTTTGGTTAAACACCCTTGCCTCTACTGCTCAGTTAGTTTCACTTTCGAACCAGAAAGTTCTTAGAAAAGTTGTTTTCTTAGTCCTCATGCACACGGGACGTTTATACAGCGGCTGTTTTTGGCTTTTGACGTTTTTTTCTACAGCTAGTAAACCCCCAGCATGTTATCCTAGGTGTCCATGCACGCATGGACTGTAAAAAAACGTTTTTATGGCTGGGGCGGTTTTTGGATGTTAAAACAAAAAAAAAAAAAAAAAAAAAAGAAAAAAAAAAGACCCAGGATTAGTGGGTTTCTAGGAGGAGCTGTAATAACGCTCTAAGGCTGAAAAACGCGGTAAAATGCTGCAAACCGGCATTTTTGAACCGTCTAAAAAACACCAAAAAAATGCAAACGCAGAAAAATGCCACTAATTTTTTTGTCAAAAAAACGCTAAAAAAAATGCTAAAAAAAAAAAAAGAAAAAAAAAAAAAAAAAAAAAAAAAGGGAAACATGGAAAAATGCTGCTAAACGCGAATGCAAAAATGCTTAAAAAAAAAAAAACAAAAAAAGCTGAAAAACCCACATTTTAAACGTGACTTTACACAGCTAACGTTACCAGTGTTATCAAAACACCCCATGTGCATGGTCTCTTACACTTTAACCTCCCTAGTGGTCTGATTATGTCCATATTTCTGTGCTCAAAGCGGTACGTTTTTTTTTGCATGGAAATATGTATTTTTTTTTTATTGTAGGCCTGTAATTTTTAGGAAAAACTCACTGAAATCTGTCCGAACAAGAGTCTAGTAAACATCACGGGTATGAAAACTTGAAACACAAAATCATAAATTATTATAGAATAATCATAAAAACATTATAATAAATTTATTTCAATAATATAATCAAACCAAAAACACTGAAATTTGAAATATAGCGCCAAGTTCGCACATCGCTGAGCAAAGTTGCAGAATCGTTTTCAGTGTCTGATGAGGAATTTCCCCACGAATCATTATCACTCAATTCTGCAAATGGTTCTGATTTACTATCGCTGTTCTCTAGCCGGTCTAAAACCGCTTTTGACCTAAAGGGACGCTTTTTGGACGCCATGGACGTTTCTCAGTTTCCAGGCAGAAAGAACAGTAAAAATGCAGGCAGGGCACAGGACAAAGCACTCGGGACAAAATGTATGTGAAATGGTTTGATACAGGAATGTAATACTATGTGATTTTAGTGAATGTCACTTTTTGTCATTTTCAAATTTCCCGCCGCTCTGTCCCTGTTCCTCCCGACGTCGCAGGGGACTGAATCCGGAAGACAGATGCCGGCATCCGCCGGATTACATTACAGGGGACACTGCAGAGGGGACATCGCGGGGAGCGCAGGACAAGGTAAGAGAAGAACAGACCCCGGAGCAGCGCCGCATGGTAAGCCCGAGTGTAGCTTGGGCTTACCACTTTTGGTACTGAAACTTTACCCCGAGCTACACTCGGGAATACTGCCAGGGAAGCTACCAGACTGAAAAAGATACTCTGTACATCACCTATCTGAAGTAAAAGTGCGCAAAATTCAACTTGCATACCTTAGGCCAGGTTCACACTTGAACGCGATTATTACTATTTTACTGGATTTATATAGCGCCAACAGTTTGCGCAGCACTTTACAAAATGAAGTCAGACATTACAGATAAAATACAATTTGGTACAAAAGGAATCTGAGGGCCCGGCTCGTTAGAGCTTCCAATCTAAGAGAGGGATGCAGGAAACCCACAATTTGTGCACATTTCCTGCACCACATGCAAAATGCACTGCATTTCTGATCTGCAATGGGTGTCAAGTTAATGACATCCCAAATGCAGGTCGCAAATGCAGTGCGTTTGCCTGCATCGGATCACGTTACAAAAGTACTATGCCATCCAGTTGCAGTGTACTTGGTGCAAAACAGTGCAATTTGAGCACATTCAAAATAAAATGGGCTCAACTCGCACCGCAGTGAATCACAAGCGAATTGCACAGGAATGGCAGCACGTTCCTGTGCGATTCATAGTGTGAACTGGGGCTTAAGCTGTATTGTTGCTGTATTGTCTCCCGTTATATTGTAAAGCGCTGAGCAAACTGTTGGCACCATATAAATCCTGTAATAATAATAATAATAATTAATAAAGAGTAAGGCTCCATGCACACTGTTTTTTTAGCTAACAAAACACTGGACAAAAAATGCTGGTAATACAGTTTTAGTAGCGTCAGCATTTTTTTTAGTGTTTTCACAGTACATGTTAAAAATAAAAAACCTGCTGTTAGGAGTATTTTAGTAGCTTTAAGGAGTGCTTAGCATTTTTTCTGCTGGGGAAAAAGAAAAAAAAAAATCTCTACAAAAAGAAATTTTTTTTTTGTTCCTAGATGCTGATGCTCAAAAAATGCTAATGGACTAAAGTGTACATAGACACATCCAATAACACTATTTAACTTCCAGGAGCTTAAAAAAACGCTAGTGTGCATGGAGCCTTAACCTGACTGTAGATTCTGCCAGGTCAGCAAGTGTCCATACCGTCCACACAGACTGGGTGTAAGAAGGTTCATCATTGCATATATTGGCATTTATAAAAAGAACATAGGAAAACTCGAAAGGTGGTAGACAGTGGGGTCAGCTTAAACGTTTAAAGAGAAAAAAATTTGAGATTTGCATATAGCCTACTCTCACCGATACTTCCCTAATCTAATGACTTGTGGACTTGGGGTTATACACTGCAGACTGCCTGTGTGTTGTAACCTGGGACAATCATATTGGGCCTGTTTATGTAAATGTTAATGTTAGATAAGGCCGACATACAGAACAGACATTTCCTGGAAGCATAGCGGACCTCAACCCCGCTGAGGACTATACCTGACTAAGGGGATTTTAGTTGCATAATTGCACAGTTTTCATTGAGCAAAGATTGCACCTTATCTATGTTTATT